CCTTGGGAATAACCTCTGGCCCAATCTTAAGCAATGGGTATACAGCCAGGAAAATGATGTGAGACTCACACTTCACCTTGATCTTTGGCTGGTGATTCTGTCCTACCTATAACTATTTTGAAAATAATTCATTAGGCACTATAAGAGTTCTTTTTGTTGCTTTCTCCAGTCAAACAGTGATTTACCTGTGAAGTGACCTGCCAGCTGCCACATCCTGCTTGCACTGCAGCTCCCTAGCACATGCTGTACTCCTACCAGTCTCTCCCACTGATATTGTAGAGGACAAAAAAAATACTTTACATTTTTACAATATCTGATAGCATTTGTGTCTCTGACATTATGATATATAATGCTGTCCTATTCCTAGAGAGGTTACAAAATAAAGAATGGAGATTAGAATACAGAATACAGATATTGATGGGTCAAGCAGGGCTCAGGAAAACAACAGCACTGGAATCCTAAGTAGGAAAAAAACCTTCTGACACAGAAAGGGAAAGAAGCAATTGACATGTAAGAACCTGAAGGTTATTCTAGGCAGAGGAAGAAGCAGATATGGCACAAGTATGAAGGAATATTAGAAATTAAATCAAAATGAGAATCAAAAGTATGAAAATGAGCATGAAAAGAGTATGAGAAGAAATTAAGAAAGAAAAATAAATAAATAAAATAGAATAAGTGCTGAGGATCATTAAAATCTGTACTGGAGGAGCAGACTCTGGTTAGATCTGCTCTAAAGAGTTGGCTGAAGCATCCCTTAGTGCAGAGGACATCTGAAACAGAGCCGCGGGCACCCACACTGCGCTAGGCCTGCTGCTCCTCTCCTCTGTGCCAGCAGATCTGTGTGGGAGAGGTGTCTGCAGTCAGAGCCAGGAGTAAACCAAGAGTCAGCTTGGGCCAGTGCTCGAGCTGTGCCCTGGCTGTGTCCTTTAGCAGCAGGAAGGAAGGGCAGCAGATCAGATATAGGGGAGGAAGGGGTTGGTGCAGGGAAGGAAGGGCAGGAGATGTAGGTGGGGAGAAGAAGACCTGTGTTTGAAATGGAAAGGGGCAGGACAGAAGTCAGATTGGAAAGTGAGGGAGGGAGCCTGTCCTAAATTAGGTGAAGAGAGTAGACAATCAGACTAAGAGAAAGGAATGATGAATGGCACGACTGACTCTTGCCATCCCACAGGCAAAAGGTTAGAAGATGAGTTCTAGAATTGCTACTACAAAGTAGCAAATAAACAATTTTTACCTTTTTTAGATTAGGTGAAAATGTTACCTGATCAGATTATCTGATACACTACAAAGACTTCATAAAAATTACTAAGCACATATATCTACTGTGCACTATCAGCAAACAAGTGTCTAAAACATACAAATCCTCAGGAAATAGAGGACTTTGCTCTAATACACGTGATGAATAACACTTTACCCATGTGAAATCAATAGAATCTTGGGAAATGGAAGCTGAGACAACTCAAAAGGCAGCATTCCAGCCTTTTCCCAACTTCATGCAATTTCCCTGTTAAATTATTCTGCTCTCCTCACCTCTGTGAATTTTTAGAAGTCTGACTTCTTCAGCTTTGAAAATACAAGATGACACTTTCCCATTTTGTTTAGCCTTGACTAATGTAAAAAGAAAGTATAGATGGAAAAAAGTACAGCATATTCTGAGGAAGGACTTTTTCACTGAAGTTTCAAGATATCAAGACAAATAGCTTTCAAAAAGTGTAATTACAAGGTTTATGAAAGACTGTTTAGAGGTTCTTCTGCAGGTATAGATGCTAAGCCACTTTTTTTTTTAAGTGGGTCTCATAAGACTTATATATGGGGACATTTGGTTTGTGAAAACACAAGCGCCTTAATTACAAAACAGGTATTCCTGTCAGCCACTTCATATGGGGAGGGACAATTCAATTTAGATGTGAAGCCTATTTTCACTAAAGCAATTCCATTTGTACTGGGGCAGAAATAAAGACAGTGCAAGTATGGTGTCTCAAGGCTATATTTTTTCCAACCAAAAAAATAGTCAAGCACTATTACTAAAAAGAGAAAGAAAAAAAACAAATAAAACAATGAGTACAGCACTACCTAAAAGCAAAGACTCTATGCAGTCATTTACTGACAGCCAATATCTCACTTATTAACACCACTTAATTCAGCTCCATCAGTCTCCCACAGACCAAAGACAAACAAAGCATTTAAGAGATGTGGGGGTAAAGCTGTTATGAGTTTGGACTCTGGATTGTAACTGTCCCTAACCATGTTCTCTCAGAGAACAACCTCTGGATTTTTATTCTCATCTATTCATTCCCATTCATTTCTACACAAGCTTTTGTGAAAGGAAACTCATCTTCTTTCCTTAGTTAATAGCTAGTAGCAACAGGAAGAACAATCAGAAGCCATTCTACAGGCTTGACATAGAAAAATGAAATGCATTTTTTGTCACTGAGCTCTACAAAGGACCGGGACTAAGTACTACCAGAAACATTCAGAACACACACTGATATAACTATGAAGACAAAATAACATAAGTCCATCTCCTTATGTAAACCTGAACATTTCTGCTGTCCAACTGTGGTATTTAATTTACAAATAAAAGGTTTTCAAGCACAGTTGTAAGTCCAGCAAAGAATGAATTTTTTGATGACTCTCTTAGTTCAAGACTGTTCTTTCCCTGCCAAGCTACTTAATGTGCAAAGCTTCTGCTTCGTCCTCTGCAGTCCACACTGCACCCTTTTCCTCTCTACTAAACACTGGTTCTGGTGCTCACCAAATCCTGCTTAACAATCCAGTTCAATTCATTACTGCATCTGAAAATTACCGTAGCTAAAAGCAGTGTAAGTAACCTCTTCTGGATTAGCTCATGGAGAGATGAGGTCCAGAATCACACAAAGAAAAAGTACAGTTATATGTCTGGGAGCAGAGACTGGCAAGTGCTTCCTCTCTTCTTAGACAGCAGCAAGATCTGAGAGCAGCTCAGCTTTAGATTATTCTGGCAGGTCAAGTTTAACACTATCAACAAAAACCTAAGAGAAACTAAGCTAAACTGCAAAGGAGTCAGCGTAAAAAGTGAGGCAGAGGTTTTACAATTCAGCAGGACATTTGCTGAGAAAGTTCCCACCTCACTCTGGGTTTGTGACAAGATGTAACTGCGTATGGGGTCACAATGAAAAACAGATGAGGAAAACATTTTGCATTTTTAGGTTTGTTTCTCCTTTCAAAGAAATAAAAAGTGGGAACTTTCCCCCTAACCTTTGGCTGCACAACTGAGTGAACCATAACAGAGCTATGAACAGGAAATCTCTTGACCAGGTTTGGCTGTTGGGGAATTGTGATTTAACTACAGAACTGTTTAAGCTGCTTTATCTTTAGCCAGACCTGAAAGATCACCACTACACCTCTCATGGCTCACTTCAGAACCATGCTCTGCTGGTATTTATTTATTTAAGTATTTATGCTCCTACAGAGCAAACTAGATCAGAACAGATTCAAAGAAAATAGTACCAAGTAATGGAAGAGGAGAAGACAGAATGTTCTCTGTATTAGTTTCATGATGCAGCTTGCTGTATGCTCCCACCAACAGCTGCCATTCCTGTCTGTCACCTTTGGACATTTCTTTTGGTGTGCTTTCAGAGCGAAAATGTTCACTGTCAGACATGACAATTCCTTAGGTTCACACTGCTACCAGTTACTATTTTATCATATAAATGGATGTCATCACAATTTTCACTCAAGAAACCCTTCAATGGGAGCTTAACTGAATTATGTCAGGATGCTGCCATCCCACTCCTTTCCGTCCCTTTATTATTACATAGTTCAATAATTTTGTTGCACTACCGCTGGTGCAGACTCAATGACTTATGCTTCTTTCTGACAAGTTAGCTGGGGGCAGCTCGGTGGCCAGCTCACTCCTCAATCCCCCAGTACTGGAGAAGCAGGTAGGTGGGGACAGAAACGCTCATCTGCAGCAATTCCAGCTTCGGTTGGCTTTCAGGATATGTTTACACAGATGATGCAAACACATCGCAGCTCTTCTATCTACGCCCTAATTTGCTGGAAATGTGCCAGCTACAACTGAGGTGATATAACCAAGTCTAATTGCACGCTCACACTAAGACACCTCACCTGTAGGATACTCTCGGAATACTCAGACTCCTTTAGCCTCGATGCACTTTTTTAGTCTTGCTTCATTATGCAATGGAATCTCCTTGATCTTAAAGCACTGATTATGAAGGTGTCACCAACACACGTGCATTACATTTGCTACTGTCAAAGACGCAATGCTAGCCTCCAAGGCAAACACTAAGGCTTTTCAATCAGGTGTCGTACGTATTGGAAGATGACGAAAATACGATGCTCAGGCTGTGCCCATGCCCTTCTACCCTCCTGCATCAACCCTCTCACAGCAAGTTATGCCTCCAGATGCCACCACCCCCTATGTCTTTCCTCTGCCCTGCTTGGCCCAGACTCAACATATTCTCCCTGTCATGCCTTTCCTCCTTCAAACACCAGGCTCTCCCCACCACAACCCTCCAGCCCTTAAACCAAGCGGCCTCACCACCATCCCGCTCCTCCCCAGCGCCAGACTCCACACCATAACATACTAGTTGCAATTCTTACCCTTCACTCCAGGGTCAGGCTGCCCCTTGACTTGTCTCTTGCCCTTGCCTCCGACCATATCACCACCCCCCACCACCCCAGACGAGCCTCCCTTCCTTAATATGCCTTATGTCCTTCCCCGCCACCCCAAGCCAGACTCGCATCGCCATGGCACCGCTTGTGCCCCCCCAAAAAACACCCCTATGCCCTTCCCCCTCCGCTCAGGCCAGGCTCCCACCACGTCCCTTACAGCCCACTTCCACCCCAAGCCAGGCTCCCCCCTGCGCCCCGGTATCCACCCAAAACCAAGGCCAGGCTCCCCCCTCTCTGACACCCCTCCTACCCCCGTCCTCTCAGGCCAGGCCCCCCCTCAAGCCAGGCTGTCGCACATACACACACAAAAACACACACCCACCCACCAGGTAGAGGGTGCCGTAGATGCGGAGGGACTCTGCCAGGGCGCTCTGGGTGACGTGCAGCACAGCCCAGGAGCACCGCGGGTGCCAGGTGTGCCCGATCTCGTAGCAGCTGTGGGGGATGGACTTGCTCAGTGCCGCCATCTTTGCAGCGCGCGAGGAGGGGAGGGGAGCGAGCGGGGCGGGGGGGCGCGGGGGGCGCGCGGCCGCCGCGTCACCGCCGGTGCCGGGGGAAGAGGTCGCGCGGGGCGCTGCGCGAGCCGGGGTTACTCGCGGGCACAGCCGCTCTTCCCACGCCCCCCGCCCGGCGCGCGCGCCGCTCGCGTGAGTCCCGCAGCCAATCCGCGGCCGCCGGGGAGCGGCCGGGGCCGGGGGTGGCGCGAGCCGCGCGGCGGGGGGGGGCCGGGCGGCGCTGAGGGCGGGCGTCCCCTGTGGGTCCCTTATCTTGTGTGTGTGACCTGTGTGTGTGTGTGTGAGACACGTGTGTGTGTNGGGGGGGGGCCGGGCGGCGCTGAGGGCGGGCGTCCCCTGTGGGTCCCTTATCTTGTGTGTGTGACCTGTGTGTGTGTGTGAGACACGTGTGTGTGTCACCTGTGTTTGTGACACCTGTGTGTGTGTGTGTGTGTGTGTGTGTGTGTCTCACCTGTGTCTGTCTGTGTGTGTCTGTCTGATCTGTGCGTCCCCTTTGTGCCTCCCGTGTGTGTGTCCCCCGTGTGTGTGTCCCGTGTCCTGCCGCACACCGTCGCGGCACGGACACATGCGTGCCTGTACGAAGCTATGTTTTTGTACTTGGTGTGCTCAAAACCGCAGGCGTACGGATTTGGGGATGTCTGCGGCGAGAGCCGCTCGCACGACTCGGCTGGCTCTCGTCGTGATGGTGAGAGGTTTCGGTGCAGGACAAGGAGTCTGCGCTGAGCTCAGAATTAAAGGTCATGTCGCAGTTTGCTCGCAGCCTGTCACGGCAGCGACATCTCCTTCAGTTCACTCCACCCGTGCTGCCCTGTTCCTTCTGGTTTTCGTGCCATCCCGCTTCTCCTGAGACCCTGGATGATGTCAAACACTCTGTTTCCTGTCTTAATTGGTGTGGCCTCATCACACACTTAAAAGTCTGTCTCCTGTGGTTCAGCGTGTTTGCAGGCTGATAGGAGAGTTTTGTAAACTTGCTGGGAAGTAGATTGGCCTGTGCGTGAGTCCACGTGCAGAACTGTGCAAAGTCCACGTGCAAAGACTTCCTAAAAAGAAACTTTTAATTACGAACACAGCGATAACAGAAAAGTGAAAAAATACGCACACACACACCGTCCTGGTCCTGCGTGTCCCCTGTGTCCTGTCACCCTCGCGGGGCACGAGAATGGGGCACTCCCGTAGGGAGTGGCTCCCAGTGCTGGGATGGCCGGTCAGGGACATGATTAATTCAGGTTTAAAGGGCTCACTGGAGGTCATCTCAACCAAGCTCCCTTCTTAAGCAGCACCCCCTAAAGCACATCACTCAGGACTGTATCCAGGCAACTTCTGGATATCTTCAAAGTGAGGGAGGCTCCACAATCTCTCTGGGCAGCCTTTTCCAGTGCTTGTTCATCTACACGGTAAAGAAGTTCCTCCTCATGTTCAAATGGAGCTTCCTATGCATCAGTTTCTGTCCATTGCCTCGTGTCCTCTTGCTTGGCACCACCTAGAAGAGCCTGGCTCCATCCTCTTGACACCCTTCCTTCAGACACTAATAGACCATTGTGAGGTTCCCTCTCAGTTTTCTCCAGGCTAAAGAGCCCCAGCTCCCTCAGCCTTTCCTCATATGAAAGATGCTTCAGTCCTCTAATCACCTTTGGACATGAGGGAGTTTTTACAAAACCATGAAGGCAATGACTGATGACACAGTTACAGCTCAATTGCAAAACTGGCATCTGGCTCCAGCTTGAATTTTTGCTAATATAGAGACTAAAGGGCCAGTGTGTATCAGGACCTGAAGATTTTACTTGTGTCTCTGTTAAATAACAGTTTACAAACACTCTGTCCTGATGAAGTACAAGTACACTGTATCTCCTGTGCTGAGGTCAGTCAAGAAGAGATTGTTTCAAGACCTAGGTGGGACATACATCCTGAAGTCCATAGGAAGATAAACAAACTAACTTGCAGTCAAATGCAGACTTAGAAGAGATCCACAGCAAGAAAATTCCATCTTCTTACAACTGGATCCGAACAGTCCTGTTGAAAAGTTCACCTCGCTGATCAGACTTGATACCAACCTGTATCACTCCCAAAAAGATAGAGCCAATTTGTCACTGATTTTGCAAACCTTTATTGTTCTTCCAAAGGAGCTTGCTGTGGGTGCAAGAACATACTTTCATTTCCATTTTAGCAGCCCGGAGATGGGTAGGTTGGATGGTTCTCAGAACCTGGGGCCACTAAGAGAGAGACTATTTGCAGATTCACAACAAATGTGCAGTAGGAGATCTTTGGCCTAAATAGTTCAATTATGCCATTTCAGTCAAGCGTATCTGACCAACCAACCCTTTCAGGTAGAACACTGTCTATGACAGTTTGCATTTAAAATCTAGTAGAGGGGCCTAGAGATAACTTTAAGTTCAGCTTTACTACTGGGGTACATCTCCCCTGCAGCTGTGGCTGTGTGGCTGCCTCAGAGAGTGAATATTGCTGTGTGCTGACCCTTGCAGGGAAGCAGCCTTGGCAACAAAATGTGCTGCAGTGTTGTCTGGACTTTGGCTTGGACCTAGTGCCTTGCTCGCTGTTTTTGTAGTACTCTGTAAAACACTGCTTGTGGGCAGAAAACACAATTATTTCCTAAGTTACAGATTCTGGCTCTCTTTGCTTTCATGTTTTGGCTTTGATAGCAGTCTGGGCTTAAGGCTTGCTTGCTGCCTTGTATTTGTAGGCAGAGAGCTACAGCACATACAATAGTAATTGCACAAGCTGATGATTTCACATCTGACACACATTTTTGCAGACAGTCCTAATTTTGGGACCACTTGCCCACAAGCTCAAGTTAAGTGAAACTGGCAGAGGAGGATGCAATAAGATACTTTGTTCATTTCGTGCAGCATCCCTGATCTGGCTGAAGAGTTGTCTGCTCAGAACTGAAGGCTTTTGCATGTCTCCTTTTGGGTCAGCTGAGGAAGACTCTGATGATAAAAAAAACAGCACAGTCCTGACCTTGCTCCAGGCCCTTTTCCATGGGGTTGCAATACTCTGAGAAGAAGCCCTGGGGATGAAGCCACATGGGAATACCGTTGATGGTCAATTGGCAGTGGATGCCACCCCAGGCTACTCTGTCCTGGGAAACCTACCCTTGATTGGAATAGGGACAAAAAAGTCTCAGAAAAGGATGGATTCTCATGAATTAGAATAAACCATTGAAGACCTTTACTTTTGCCCCATAAATACCCAGAGTTTTCGAGAATGCTCCTTGTTGCATGAACAAGGCTCTATACTGGGAATAGCAGGGTGCATCTATAATGTTGCTTAAACAAGCACTAGTGGTGAATCCTGTGGCATGAAGCCAGAAGATGAAGCACACACTGTTCAGAATTTGCCTTGTAATATTCAGGGGCCTTGGAGAGAACTACCAAGAGCAGTACTGAAACCAGAGCCAAGGAGAGAACTAATTGCTAAGCAACACGAATGTGGGGGACTTGAGACTGCTCAGCTTAGTCCGTGGTCCTTGTTGATGTAGCAGAGTCAAATATTCCAATAAGTCTGAATAAAAATGTGCACTGACAAAAATATGAGGCTCATTAGACTAGGACAGCAATGATGTCCTGGGCTCCACACCTTGTGTCACAGAAGGGAGCAGTGTGGCAGCATCTCACTGCATTGAGTCTGTTCCTGTTGCCCATGTTAACAAATTGCAGTTTTCAGTACAAGTCCCTGGCCAGACTCACTCTTTAGCAAGGTACCTTAACTGATGGACAGCACTGCAATCCTTTAGTTTACCCATGCAGATGATAACTGATTATATTAGGGAGGCAGATGGCTTGGGTAGCAATTGCTGAATGAAGTAGTCCCTTCCTTTTCAGGTTTTAATGGGTCTCACAGTTTGGAACATTCTCTGCTGCTATCTTCAGCATCTGCTAAGTCTGGTATCTACAAATAAATTATATATCTCATCCCATGAGAGTAATTGGAGGTGTGAAGATTTTTCTCTTGCCTTCACACTGAGCAGTTACCAGTGTTAGAAGGTGGCCTAGCCAGGAATCCAAGGCAGAGCATTTAACTAATTAGAACAAAATCAGGCAGAAAAAAATAAACTGAGGAAAGAAGGCAGCCAGGGGACTTGACATTTCAGGAGGCTTTGCCTTCCAAATGCATTGAGATCTGGGAAATCTTCTTTCTAAATATTTTTAAATATCAGAACAATCTGGAAACATTTTAACTTGGAAGAAATGTTGTGCTTTGCCCTCTCCATTCCCTCCTGTTGCTTTCCAGCTTGTGTGCTTTTTTTCTGCTATTTGTTTTCTCCCTTGGGACAAGAGATCCAACTTTTCCCTGCTACTCATGCCTTTCTCAGTGCCTGCATTTCGGTTCTGGAAGTAACTCTTCTTGTCTGATAAGAATTGCTCTTTCCACCAGTAGGGTTTTTTTTTCACTCACTTTCCTGCTTTTCCCATTCTTCCACTCTCATTGTTATTATCCCTCAGTTTGTTCTCCTGCCATCTGCAATTGTCTCATGCCTCCATCATAAAGTTTATGAAATCCAGACTGAAAAATATTCTTCTACTAAAAAAGCTAGGGATTAAATTAATTCTTCTCCTCAGGTCAGTAGTGACAATGTGTACATGTAGATATCTACTTCCTTCAGTAAATTGCATAGGAACTTGGACATATTGCTACAATCTCCATTTATTCTCAAAATCCAGGACAAATGGTGGGTACAATATATTATTAGTTTCTTTAGAAATAAACCACAGTCTTGTAACATACGTCACTAATACATGAAATGACTGTATTGAATGGGAGCAAATGGCCATTAATAGAATGCATTTACTTTCCTCCAAGAGAAAAAGGGCCCTTTAAGAACTACTTTTCACCTTTGTGCCTGAAACTCCTTATGCTTTTAACTTAACCCATTTTGCATTATTTGAAGAGAGATTCTCTTCTGGCTTGCAACCATGAATGCAACTTGTTCATTTTTTAGCAGGGGATAAGCTCAAAATACCCTTATGTTTGCTGATATTTCAAGGTAAAGGAATTATCTGGAAGTTTTCCCATTTTCCAAGATGTAGTAATGTCCAAACTAAATATAGGATGGAATGTGGGATAATACCCTATGAACACTTTAATACACAGAATAATACCCCTATGTTTATACAAATGCTTATTTTTTTCCCAGGCATAAATGTTGTAGTCTTTCTTATAGAGGTACAAAGGATTCTACTAAGAAAAAAAAAAATCATAACATTCACCACACTGACTCTGTGGGCCAAACCAAGAGATGACATACTGAGCCATATTCATGCTACTGGCATCAGTTGAATTGTATTTCAACTGTATTTAGCCTATGGTGTTGCTGTTCCTGGAGACAGTTATTTCTTTTTTCTAAATCAGGTGACAGAATTGGTCATTAAAGGCTAAATTAAGCCACTGCTTTCACTGCAGAAGGAATGAGAGGCAGTGCATGTGGATGCATCATCCCAAGAGCAGCCCAAAACAGCAACTGTGACCCTGCTGCTTCTTCACTGCTCTCCTGCTGCTTCTTCACTGCTCTCCTGCTTTCCAGGAAAGTGCTTTCTGTAGTTCTGGAAAGAATGCAAAAAGCAGTTTTGCATCATCCGGGTATCTCAGCACACTCCTGTGCTTGAAAATCCCTTCTCCAGCCCCCTTCCTTTGTTTGAGTGAAACCACTACAACTTTATACCACCCAAACAGACCTAAATCTTTTCTGGTGCTATCAAAAGGTATGGCTGCCTGTGCTCTACAGCA